TTGAGAAAAAGAAAACGCAGCGATGAGTCTCTCTGATACGGACAAGGCTGTTGTTAAGGCCATCTGGGCTAAGATCAGCCCCAAGGCCGATGAAATTGGTGCTGAAGCCCTCGCCAGGTAAAGCTCACCTATGTTTTTTTTTTCTATTTGAATTAGGATTACTGATTGACAGAACTTTATAGAAGTTTATTATTATTATTAAGAATAATCTATGATAACTTATAATGTGTAAAAACATAAATAACCTATGTATTTTTTCCTCCCAGAATGCTGACCGTCTACCCTCAAACCAAGACCTACTTTTCTCACTGGGCTGACTTGAGCCCTGGGTCTGGTCCCGTGAAGAAGCACGGAAAGACTATCATGGGTGCCGTCGGCGAAGCTATTTCAAAAATAGACGACCTTGTGGGAGGACTGGCCGCCCTGAGCGAACTCCATGCCTTCAAGCTGCGTGTTGACCCGGCCAACTTCAAGGTAGGACGGTGCCACAGCACAGCATAAAATAAAATAAAACGTAGTGTATTGCAGCATTCATGATATGTTGTTTCTGTTTATCTCTGTTCTAGATCCTGTCACACAATGTCATTGTGGTCATCGCCATGCTCTTCCCTGCAGACTTCACCCCTGAGGTTCACGTGTCAGTCGACAAGTTCTTTAATAACTTGGCCCTGGCTCTCTCTGAGAAGTACCGCTAAACCTCAAGTGGATATTCACTGACAACAACACTGTGCGGCACTCTTAACAACTCATGCATGATGTTGGAATGAAATTTCTCAATAAAAGGCACAGAACTAAATGATTCATGTCTTGTTTGATTAATTATCATATTTGATTTTAATTTATGCAAGCACGTTTAAGGGTTTAAATAAAATGGATGCTGAAAAATAAACAAATAGCTATCAAAAAGTGTTTTACTGAATATATTTTGTGTGTTTAGAATGTCTTAAATGCAGATATATTTCAGAAAGCATATAGACTAATTTACCCTAAAAGCATAACTCTGGGATTATTAATCCCAACATTATTCAGATTGGACTCAGAGTCTGATCAAAATGTTCATGGTTGACGTTTTCAACAGAACCCCTAAGAGTCACAATGGAAAGTGTCATTATTATTTCCTTTACGGTTATAACCTAATACATTCTTGTCACATACATTTGTGGTTGTTCATTTCTTTTTTATATTTTAAACTTAAATTAAACTTACATTTTTATACTTGACAAAGTTTAATGGTTAATAATATCAGTAATAATTATATCGTGCATTTGGTGCTTAACTTTTTTTTAACTTTATAAAATAATACAATATGTTTAAATAACGTAAATATATTCAGAAAATAATATTTTAAAATAGTTTTTTTATGTAAGGGCCTCGGCTATCCAAATATGCAATCACTACATCGCAGGACCTAAATCAGCTACATTTCAAATACAGCTGGGCACATTCTGTTTTTATTATGTAGTCCATTAAAAGTTAAAACATACCATGTATAATCGCTTGTTGGAATAAAAAATAAAATTTAGAAATTTAAGAATTTTAGTGCCTATACTATTTGGAGATGTAGTGTTTTCTTAAGTTCTGTTAAAACTAAGAGTTTAATTTGAAATGCCTTTTACAAGGGAAACGTTCTTGAACGAGTTCAGTTATATTTGTATTTAAGGCAGTATATTAGGAGTATCTTAATTTTTATTTAGCAGGTTAAAGTTTATTTTGCCATAAATAGGCAGCTTATTGTTTTAGAAAGATCAATTAATTTTTAGAGAATATTTCACAATTTGTTATTTTACCTTAAGTTTAAAAATAGCAGGCCTACTACATGACTAAACTATAGGTTCATAAATAGCACAGGCCTAAAAAAATACATTTTGAACCAAGTAATTTGTTTCGTTTTTATCAAAATAAAAAATTACTTTGGTTTAAACTTTACATTTAATGTAATCCAAAAATATTTATTGTGGTAAAAAAAACTTTACTTTAGTATAAAAGTATAGAAAACAGTTTGTTTTTTCCAAACGATGAAAATTTAATGACTCTTATTCGATTCAAATCTAAATCCAAGGTCATTCATTAATTTTCCTTCTGCTTAGTTCCTTAATTCATCAGGGGTCGACACAGCGGAGTAACTGCCAACCTATCCAGCATATGTTTAACACAGCGATGCCCCTCCAGCTGCAACCCAGTATTGGGAAACTAAATCCAAGTAAAGTTGTAATTTGCACTTAACTAAAATAATAGACTGTGCTATATTGCTAGTCATTTTATTTTCAATAATGAGGGAAACTTTCTTTTATTTGTTTTTTTCAACATTGCTTTAAACGTCACCAAAATGGCAACCAAACTCACATTAGAAATATATAAAAACTGAAAGCTCATAAACAGTGCCTTTTCATTAAGTGAAAACTGGTTTAAAGTAAAAAACAAAAAAAAACAAAAAACTATTTTTAGGGAAAAACTAGTGTTATAAGTTTACCTATGAGGTTATTTATTTATTTATTTATTTATTTATTTATTTATTTATTTATTTATTTATTTATTTAATTATTTAATTATTTCTTATGCTTTAAGGCAACTTGAATAAAACAGGTTTAACCCAGCAACCTTTTTTTTCTGCTTATCCAATATAAAAATGTACTTTTCATGAAAGACGCAGCATAAGTTTTTTTCAGTGTACTTCGAAACCATATTAACTTTTCCATGCCAGGAAAATTGTTAGGTTTGTTAATTTGCAGTTAAAATTTAAACTCTTTTTAGGTCTGTTTGTTAATGTACAACTGAGGTGCAATTAGTTATGGCATTATTTGATAGTTCAGTTTGTAACATCAAAGTATTTTACATGCAAAGTATTTATGTTATAAACGCAAGTGATTCAACGCTATTTTATTTGTAAATTAAAATATTTCCTTTGTTTACCATTTTCAATAAAGACACGCAGGGTGCAGTGATATTGACAATGCTCATGATGACCACAATATATTTCTGTAACAATTAATCTCCTTTATTGGTCAGAAATCACTTTCATATATGCCAATAAAGTGGATAAACCTGATGTAAAAATTATTTTACACATTTAAAAAAAAGATTAATTTGCGGCCCGATTTTAGCGTTTTTAGAAATATTATTCTAACGAGGCTGTAAAAGTTGGAGTTTTTTTTTTTTACTTTGAAATGTTCTGGTTCTAGTTTACAAGCAGAATGTCCACTGTGGGTCGTGACTCGTGAGATATTTAACTTCTGTTTGTGAGTTTGTAATTTTGATAATAATTTACAAGTTGGTATATAGAGACAAATGGAAGAAAACAACAGTGAGATGCTTTTAACATTATTTTATTGATCTTGTTGCAAAAGAGTTAGATCTTTGTTTGAACATCTCCGCGCGGTGTGACCTTCTCCAAAACACCTGACGTTCATTGGCGATGAGACTCTAGTGGTACTGTCTGCACAGAGCAGAAACGACCACAGCCAGAAACTTCTGCCAGGCCTCCTGGACATCAGCATTGAAACCAGCTTGGCCGAACTTCATGGCAGCGCAAACGGTGATGCAATCAGCGAGAAGCTGCAAAACAAGAGATCAGTTAAGCTGCGGGTTCCCCATATACTAATTTAAGAGCACGGCTGTTTAAGTATTAACATCATTCAGTTAATGCAGACGTACCCTGAAGTTGTCGGGATCCACATGCAGTTTCTCAGAGTGCATCACACTGAGGGCGGCATAGGTGTTCTTGACGTTGTCCATGTTCTTGATGGCTCTCTCAAGACCTCCCATCACAGTCCTCCCATGAGCTGCCACTTTGGGGTTACCCATGATCGCAGCGGGGCTTGACAGGTTGCCGAATGTGGCGAAATATCTCTGAGTCCAGGGATACACGATCAGACATCTTCAAAAACAGAGGCATTAAGAGCGCCATTAAGTAAACTGCATATAGTTGCATTCATTTAACACAAAGACAAACTTTCTACAAAGTAAAGAGGTGATACCTGGATAGGGCCTGAGGTCCGATTTCATCGATATTGAGCTTTCCCCACAGGCCAAGGATGGCTGTGCGCTCGGCATCTGTCCACTCAACCATGTTTACGCTTTAGGATGTCCTTAGGTGCTTGCTTAAAGTCCAGTAGGAATCACTAGCAGAAATTCAGAAACCGGGGTGCATTTTATTGATGTGTGATGTCTCCGCCCAATAAAAGATGCAAAATCTTATTGGATAATCTTGCTGAGATGACGCATGCTTTGGACATCACTGATCGGACCCCATCCAAAAAAGCTGTTTTGAAAAAGAAAAAAAAGTCTTAAACATGAACCAGCATTTTTTTTTTCATTTTGGTCGTGCCCATATTAATCATGCAATTTCCTATGCCTAAATATGTTCTGTTAAGGTCTTAAAACAAATATAAATTATGCTTTCCAATAATAATAATGATAATAATAATAATAATAATAATAATAATAATAATAATAATAATAATAATAATAATAATAATAATAATAATAATGATAAGTTGGTGGGAAATTATTATTGGAAAACATTTAACACGAAAATTCTGTTTCAGATAATTTCTGAGCAAAACTTTACTACACTTATTTGTTTGTTCATAATTACAATATCAAGGCATTGACATTTAAATGTGACAAAACACCTTTTCAAATATTGCAATTGAAAAAAAACGATTATTTACAAATCTATAGTGATTTAATAATCATTTTCGAAATATAATTTTGTTCATGATTCTTAATGGCTTTTAATTTTTACTTGGATTGTTCATGTGTAATTGTTGTACACATTAAATGCAGCTAAATGTGCAAAGCTTGATTAAAGCATACGTGATGTATTTGTAATAAAACTGTTATCTCAATTAAACAAGATGCAGAAAATTGGCACGTTTTTGATTGGACACCAGAAGCTGGAGATCAGCAGAAATGCGCCGAAGAGGTGTGGTTCGGACTGATTTCATGGGTGTGCCCTCGTTTGGTTTTATATAAAAAGTAGGACACATGTCGTGTTCCCCAACAGCTTTTTCTGAAGAAACCTCACTTGAGAAAAAGAAGACGCAGCGATGAGTCTCTCTGATAAGGACAAGGCTGTTGTTAAGGCCATCTGGGCTAAGATCAGCCCCAAGGCCGATGAAATTGGTGCTGAAGCCCTCGCCAGGTAAAGCTCACCTATGTTTTTTTTCTATTTGAATTAGGATTCCTGATTGACAGAACTTTATAGAAGTTTATTATTATTAATAAGAATAATCTATAATAACTTATAATGTGTAAAAACATCAATAACTTATGTATTTTTTCCTCCCAGAATGCTGACCGTCTATCCTCAGACCAAGACCTACTTCTCTCACTGGTCTGACTTGAGCCCTGGGTCTGGTCCCGTGAAGAAGCACGGAAAGACTATCATGGGTGCCGTCGGCGAAGCTATTTCAAAAATAGACGACCTTGTGGGAGGACTGGCCGCCCTGAGCGAACTTCATGCCTTCAAGCTGCGTGTTGACCCGGCCAACTTCAAGGTAGGACGGTGCCACAGCACAGCATAAAATAAAATAAAACGTAGTGTATTGCAGCATTCATGGTATGGTAACGTTTTTCTGTTTATCTCTTTTCTAGATCCTGTCACACAATGTCATTGTGGTCATCGCCATGCTCTTCCCTGCAGACTTCACCCCTGAAGTTCACGTGTCAGTCGACAAGTTCTTTAATAACTTGGCCCTGGCTCTCTCTGAGAAGTACCGCTAAACCTCAAGTGGATATTCACTGACAACAACACTGTGCGGCACTCTTAACAACTCATGCATGATGTCTGAATGAAATTTCTCAATAAAAGGCACAGAACTAAATGAGTCATGTCTTGTTTGATTAATTATCATATTTGATTTTAATTTATGCATTAGATTTAAATAAATGCATGCTGAAAAATAAATAAATAGCTATAAAAAAGTATTTTACTAAGTATATTTCTGATTGTTCAGAATGTCCTAAATGCAGAGATATTTCAGAAAGCATATAGACTAATTTACCCTGAAAAGCATAACTCTGGGAATATTAATCCCAACACTATTCATATTGGACTCAGAGTCTGATCAAAATGTTCATGGTTGACGCTTTCAACAGAACCCCCAAGAGTCCCAATGGAAAGTGTCATTATTATTTTTTCCTTTACGTTTATAACCTAATACATTCTTGTCGCATACATTTGTTGTTCATTTCTTTTTTATATTTTAAACTTAAATTAAACTTGCATTTTCATTCTTGACAAAGTTTAATGGTTGACAATAACCAGTACTAATTATATTGTGTATTTGGTGCTTAACTTTTATACTTTATAAAATGATAAAATATATGTTTAAATAATGAATAAATATATTCAGAAAATAATATATTTTTTATGTAAGGGCCTCTGCTATACAAATATGCAGATCACTACATCGCATATTTTAGAAAGCATATGGTCTAATTTACCTTAAAAACATAATCATTAATTCAAACATTAGTCAGACTCAGACTGATCAAAATGTTCTTGGTTTTTTCCATTTTTATTATTACATTTTAAACTTGAATACATTTGTATACTTGACAAAGTTTAATGGTTGACAAGAATCAATATTAATTATTTTGTTTATTTGGTGCTTCGTTTTATATGGCCTCGACTATCCAAATATGCAGATCACCACATCGCAGGAGCCAAATTTCAAATACAGCTGGGCACACTTTCTCCATAAGGTTTATTATATAGTTCATAAAAAAAAAAAAAAAAAAAGTTATCGCTCGTTGAAAAAAAGTAAACTTGCGAATTTTGCGAATTTTAGTGCCTGAGATGTAGTCTTTTCACAACTTCTGTTACTGTTTAAACAGTTAAACTTGAAGTGCCTTTTACAAGGAGAAACTTTTCTGAATGAGTAGTTATATTTGTATTTAAGGCAGTATATTAGTAGTAACTTTACTTTTATTTACAAATTGAAAGTTTATTTAGCTATAAATAGGCAAATTATTATTTTAGAAAGATCATTTAATTTTTACAGCATATTTCACAAAAAAAACATTTACACAAAATAAAAAAGTTGAATATACATACAATAAAATTGTGTTTTGTTATACTTTAGTACACTGTAGAAATTATTTGTTTTTATAGACGATTAAAAAATTGAATTACTTTAATTCGACTTAAAATCAAAATCCAAATATAATTGTACACTTTGGGTTAATCTAATAACAATGTCAGGCTCTGCTATTGCTTATTTATTTTTTTATAATGAGGTAGTTTTCTGCTGGGGCTTTCTGTATGGCTACATTGTAAAAATATATATGATCAATTAGTCATGACTACTATGTTTTTAATTCATTGTAACTTATTAAACTAAGTAAACAAATTCTAACTTAATTTATAAGTTATGCAAGCTGTTTTAAGTCAATTTAGCATAATAAGTTCATCTGACTCATAATGATAATTTGATTCTGCTTAAAAATTTAAGGCAACAATGATTTTTTTTTCACAGTGTAAACGTCACGCAATATGGTAATTAATCTCAAATATTAAATGCATAAACACTGAAAGCACATAAACACTACATTTCCATGTAATGACATGAAATAAAAGCTCATGGTGTAATGTAAAAAAATATTACCTTGAAAAAACCTAATGTTTTAAAATTACCTAGGGGTTATTTTGTATTTTGTTGTAAGGCAATTTTATTAAAACAGGTTAAAACTAGAAACCATTATTTAAAATAAAATGTACGTTGATAGCAAAGCAGTGTAGTTTCATTTTTCCCCAATGTATTATAAAGCCATAATAACTTTTTTTCATGGCAGGAAAGTCTTTAACCAAGGTGAGGTTAATTATAGCATTATTTGATAGTTCAGTTTGTAACATTAAAAATATATTTTTTACATTCATTATATACATTATGGTATAGTTACAAGTGATAATTATATAAATATAACGTTATTTTATATTTGCACATTTAAAATAGCATTTCCCTTTATTTACCACTTATAATAAGGGCATGCAGGGTGCAGTAATATTGACAATACTTGTGAGGACCACAGAAAATTTCTAATTTTACCGTTTAAAAAAAAAAAAAAATCTTATGTTCTTGGATGAACGAAGCTATAACAAACTATTTATTTTTACTTTGTAGTTTTCTGGTTTCTGTTTTCAAACGTAATGCCCACTGTGGGTCGAGAGATATTTAATTTCTGGTTTATCACAAATTATCACAGAATTCAGGCAGTGAACACCCATTTCTCAGTGAATTATCAAAGAAAAAACAAACTCGGTTGTACACCCACACAGAAAATACGATAAAATAATTTAGCTTGTCGTTATTCATATTGTATGTATCGGCTGATTTATTATTCAAATAATGTAAGTGTTTCACCAGCATTGAAATAAAAAAAAAATCCTAGCTGATATACGTTTCTGAATATAGCCTGTTTTAATAAATTTGCCTCAAAACAAACGACGATCCCCTAAGTAAACTTAAAAACATTAGTTTTTCTCAAAGTAATATTTTTTTATTTTATCCATCAGCTTTTATTTTTCATGTAAATGCTTGAACAAAAGGCACTGTTTGTACTTTCAGTGCTTTTATGTTTTTCCAAAGTGAGTTTTATTTCCAATTTGCTTGACATTTATAGCCATACAGAAAGCACCAGCAGAACGTTTACCTCATTGTAGAAAATAAAATAACAAACAATAGACTTATATTTCTTGTGCCTATTAGTCTAAAGTACAATTTTACTTAGATTTAGTATTGAGTCGAACCTAAGTAATTCAGTTAATCCATAGTCAAAATTAATTATTTGATTAATATTAAAAACATTTTTTATTTTCAACCAAGTCAAAATTATTATTTTTGGGTAATTTATAAATTTAGCTGTAACAAGTTACAGACTTTCTTTAGTTTTGTCCAATAGCAAGAAAATATACAGGGTAGAAAAAGTAATCAGACCCTTTAAATGTTTTACTCTTTGTTATACAGCCATTAGCTAAAACCATTTATGTGCATGTTTTTCCTCATTATTGTTCACATAGTGGCGACGCAGTATCGCAGTAGGTAGTGTTGTCGCCTCACAGCAAGAAGGTCGCTGGTTCGAGCATTGGCTGGGTCAGTTGGCGTTTCTGTGTGGAGTTTGCATGTTCTCCCTGCGTTCGTGTGGGTTTCCTCCAGGTGCTCATGGTTTCCCTCACAGATATGCGGTACAGGTGAATTGGGTAGGCTAAATTGCCCGGAGTGTGTGTGTGTGTGAATGATTGTGTATGGATGTTTCCGAGAGATGGATTGCAGCTGGAAGGACATCCGCGGTGTAAAACATATGCTGGGTAAGTTGGAGGTTCATTCCGCTGTGGCAACCCCAGATAAATTAAGGCACTAAGCCAAAAAGAAAATGAATGATACACACACAGTACCCAGAAACACACAGAACTGTTGACAATTTTGCAGATTAATTAAAAAAAGAAAAACTGAAATACCACATGGTGCTAAGTATTTAGACCCTTGGGGATCCTCTGCCATTCCTCCTTGCAGGTCCTCTGCAATTCTATTAGGTTGGATGTTAAACATTGGTGGACAGCCGTTTTAGGTCTCTCCAGAAATGTTTAATTGGTTTTAAGTCAGAGCTCTGGCTGGGCCTTTTAAGAACAGTTAAGGAGTTGTTCTGAAGTCACTCCTTCATTATTTTTGCTGTGTGCTTAAGGTCATTGTCTTGTTGGAATGTAAACCTTCGGTCCAGTCTGAGGTCCTGAGCACTCTAGAGAAGGTTTTCATCCTGGACCTATACAGTACATGACCACATTGATATTTCCCTCGATTACAACCAGTCGCCCTGTCCCTGCAGCTAGAAAACACACCCACAGTATGATGCTGCCACCACCATGCTTCACTGTTGGGACTGTATTGGACAGGTGATGAGCAATGCCCGGTTTTTTCCACACATACCGATTAGAATGAAGGGATAAAAGTTCTTTCTTGGTCTCATCAGACCAGAGAATCTTCTTGGAGTTCTTCAGGTGTTTTTTAACAAACTCCATGCAGGCTTTCATGTGTCGGGCGACATAGAGCTCTGACTGGTTGAGGGTTGCAGTGATGGTTGACTTTTTACAACTTTCTTCCATTTCCCAACTGCATCACTGTTGTTCAGCCACAATGATCTTTGGGTTCTTCTTTACCTCTCTCAACCAAGATTGCTCTGTTTGGTTCTAGAAAGACTTCCGATTGTCCCAAATGTCTTATGTTTATGGACACCGCTGTGTTTACAACTTTAAGTTTAAGTATAATTTTTTTTTATATAAGCTTGGCTAGATCTGTGCTTTGCCACAACTCTGTCTCTGAGCTCTTAAGGTCTTAAATGGTGTGTGGCTTTTCTACTTTTCTACTCAAGTCCAATAAGTATAATAAGTATATATAAGTATATATACACATACATGCAATTGAAACCAGAAGTTTAAATCCACTCTAAAAAAAGGAACATAACCATTTAAAAAAAATGTCTGATGGTAAAGCATACTAAACGTTTACTATTTTAGGTCCGTTAGGATTACATACAATATTTACATTCGCTTAATGCCAGAATAATGAGAGAATTTGTTTTTGAGTTTTTTTCATTATTTTCTAGACAGTCAAAAGTTTACATACATTTCTTTGGTATTTTTTTAGCTTTGCTTTTAAACTGTATAACTTTGGTCAAATGTTTTGTCTTGTTTGCACAAGCTTACAATTGTTATGTCTTGTTTGCACAAGCTTTTTCAACTCTACCCGCAAATTTTCTATAGGGTTGAATTCAGGGCTTTTTGATTGCCACTCACATTCACTCTGTTGTCCTTAAAGCACATTTTGACTGATTTGGCAGTATGCTTAGAGTCATGGTCTGTTTGGAAGACCCATTTGTGGCCAAATTCCCTGGCTGATGTCTTGAGATGTTGCTTCAGTATTTCTACATAATGCTCTTTCTTCATGATGCCATCTATGCTGTGAAGTGGACCAGTGCCTCCTGCAGCAATTACAGCCTGTAGACGCTTCTTATAGTCAAGGATAAGTCCCCGAAGTTGTGCTGAAGGCATTTTGAACCAAGATCTACCACCACAGTAGATCTGGAACTGTGCTTTAAGTCATCGACCTGCTGAAACATTCAACACTGGAGTAACTATAGCCACTTAACTGATTCCTAAACACTGTTCTTCAGAATCCGCTGATACTGGGTGGAAACCATGTGACCTTAAACTCTGACAAGGTTTCCAGTACGTGTGCTGCTAGCCACACATCCCCACGGCTTGATGGACACTCCACCATATTTTACAGTAGGGAGCAGGTTCTTCTCCTGGAACGCTGTTCTTTTTCCGCCATGCAAAGCACCTATGGTTGTGGCATCTATTCAGAGTATAATTTCCAAAATGATTCAGGTTTGTCCAGATGAGCTTCTTCATACCTCAAACAACTCTTCTTGATGGCAGTTTGCAAAAAAGCTTTTTTATATCGTCTTCCATTGAGCTTTTCTTTGTGAAGAAAACTGTGGAAAGATGTATAAATACATTTTCAGCTGCAAGATGTTTCTGGAGCTCTTTAGAAGTTATCTGTGGTTTGTCTGTCACCACTCTAAACATTCTTCGCCTTTGTTTTTCAGAGATTTTACTTGGTCTAGCACCTTTTCTTCACAAGAAATGTTTCTGTGGCCTTCCATTTTCTTACTGAAAAACCGGGTAGAGTCAATTTTTATTTTTTTTTTGCATGCCCCAGCTGAACAATGCCTTGACAGAAAATTACCAGCGCCTTTCAGTTTTTCTTCATGTTTGTTTTTTTTCTTACAATGTAGTTGTAACATGATATTTTACAATGAGGGTTTAGTTACTAATCAACAGATTCACTTCACACATGCCCAGATTAATTCTCATTACACATGTGAAAAAAGTCCTGTGGCAGACACAGCAGATGTTAGCTAATTTGAGATTAAAAAAAAAAATAGATATACAAAGGTATCTGTCTGTGTATAAATTTTTAATGCAAGTTGTTGCTGTGAATGTTTTGGCTGGGAGGTGAGCAAATTAATGGCTACAAAAACCTGCATCAGTTGTAACATCAAAACTCTTGGTTAGTTTTAACATGAGTGAAATATTATATCCCAAGCAAATTTTACTGTATATGTTTTAATTTAAGCAATCCTAACTGTTAAAAGAGAAAGACTTTAATGTAGTTTGGGTTCAGTGTTTGACCTGTACTCTTTGGGATCAGAGCCTGCATACACAAGTAAAGTTCACTTCAGTTGTTGAAGCTGATACACATTTTATTCAGCTTTGTAACATGGCACACACCAATAAAACAAGCTCAGTGTGTAATAATAACCTTACAAATGCATTTTTGGGTCATAATTCTTATTGTATAATGTTACACCTCATCCTTGTGTAACAAAATAAAATAAGTACTTACTCACACTATTTACTCATTCTGTTAAAAATTAAATTGTGCATTTTCTGTTTGCGCTGCCATAACATTTAAATGACATTTAAACACACTGGCTTAAAAGATCTCAAAGATATTGTCAGAAAATTAAAAATGTTACAGCTCTTCCCAGTCTCCCCTATGCTGTTAACATCTAACCATGAACGAATTATTATGCTATTATTGGACTTTACCAGTATATCCATACCGATCTGCTGTTTGGCTCGCTATAATTGTTCAGTTTTAGCTATTTGTTGTGGAATTTCTATGCATGTGCTTTTTGGAAAGGAAATCAGTGCAAAAAAAATAATCTAGCAACAAGATTTTAAAAGTTGGCAACACTGACCTCAAGTGGTGAATTTATAGTCGGAGAGTATGTTGAGTCGATAGTATTTTGACCGACATGACATCGATTGAATAATTTTGACGGAAATGTGAGCATATTATAATTTAGGTTTTCTTGTATTACAATGACAATACATTTTATAAATATGCTTTAAGTTTATTTTATTCTAGTTTCTCTCTCTCTCTCTCTCTCTCTCTCTCTCTCTCTCTCTCTCTCTCTCTGTATATATTTGTGTGTGTGTGTGTGTGTGTGTGTGTGTGTGGGGGGGGGGGTGTTTGTGTGTAGAATGAAAAAAAAGAAAGAAAAATATAAATATATTCAAGCGATTGGCGCCCTCTTTTGGTTAAAATTATGTACTATTCTTGAAATGGACATTGACAGCAGGGGTCGCTGAAAGACTTCTTTCTGTGAAGACAAAATGTTGGGCCTATATTGTTCTATGCGACCCCATTATAAAACGTAACTGGCATATTACATCTTGTATGAAGATACAATTTATACCATGAAAAAAACGTGTCTAGCTCTTTATTCTTAAATATTACTTATTAGGCTACATTATAATAGTTTATTCATTTACTTATTTGAACATCATCTTTTATTAATTACAAAATATGTAAGTTATTATTAATAATATTAATTATTGTTTTTTAAATACCTCTGATTTTTTCATTAAAACCATACCACTCCCTGACCCCAGTGGAAACATCTGCGCTGAGTTTATAATATAATCAACAAATATAGGCTATAGCCCATATGTTGTATTGTGACATTCTTTTTAAAATAAAAAAATTAAGGAGATGCCCTTGACATTTTTTCCCACTCGCGTTTTCCATTAAACATATTTTTTATTTTCATTGTATATTTACAGAATTCCCCATATATTTCTGTAAAGTATTGTTTCATATGCCTTTATTATTCATGTTTATCATGCAGCCTGTATTATTCGGTTCCAATAATAAAAAATTTAAGAATTCAGCAGCCCATTTTAATGAGCATACTTTTATGGATGATATTGCTAAAATTAACTGTTTTCTCGCAATCTTGGTAGATATTACTAGAGAAAATAAGCTGGTTGAGATATGCATCTTTTGGGTGTATGTACTTGAACCATCCCACAAATCCGTCACCCAATAGTCTGTCAAGGGGTGTGGCTGTAAAACCTCGTTTAAAAGTTCCACAATGAACTCTGTCTTCACAGCACTCTTCAGCTTCTGTTTAAGACACTTAGTCTGAACATCTAAAGTCGAAAACATGGTTGTGTGGACAGACTTCGAGAAGGCCACCATTCAAGATATCTTCGCCAAGGCTGACTACGACGTCATCGGTCCTCAGGCTCTGGCAAGGTAATGAGTCTTGGAGCTTATATTAACTTATATTTATAACATTACATAAGGCAGGAGACTGGTTTCGAGACAGCTGCTCTAATAAAATTTGTTTTCATCAGGTGTCTCATCGTGTACCCCTGGACTCAGCGGTACTTCGCCAAGTTTGGAAACCTCTACAATGCCGCTGCCATCCTGGGAAACCCAATGGTTGCTGCCCACGGTAAAACTGTGCTCAAGGGTCTGGAGCTGGCAGTGAAGAACATGGACAACATCAAGGCCACCTATGCTGATTTAAGTGTGCTGCACTCCGAGAAGCTCCACGTAGATCCCGACAACTTCAGGGTAAGCTGACATCCAGATTACGGATGTTTTTAAGAAAGTCTTTGGTTATTCATGATATGTGTCGATATAACCCTACTCTTGTGTCCTCTCACAGCTTTTGGCTGATTGCTTGACCATCGTTGTTGCTGCTCAGATGGGTGCTGGATTCACACCTGAAGTTCAGGCCGCTTTCCAGAAATTCATCGCTGTCGCCGTGTCCGCTCTGGGAAGACAGTACCACTAAATACAGACAGAGAGAGATTATAATGTTTCCACTAAAGAATGTGCTATTCTGAGTTGAAGCAAATAAATATTTCACTATTCAATGTTCAGTGTATTCTGTGCTCTTTTTATATTCGCATGAATTCAGGTGTCTTTGGAAATTTATTTGACTAAAAAAGAAAGAAGAAGCTTGCTTGTTAACATATTAGCTTTAATTAACACCAAGTTTGTGCATAATCACAAAATGATTTTTTTTAAAATTGAATATTATCAAAACAATTTAAATAAATATAAAGAAAATATACATTTACCTACTTCAAGACTTGAAATAACCTGATAAAATGCAAAAAGAAAAATCATATCCATATACATCTATCAAAGTCCTCAATATTACATTGTGCCATCCTAAATTAAAATATCATTTGTATTTGCAGTCATGGTGTCTTTCAGGTCGCCAACTGAGTTTGTTTTAGTATGACGAACGTTTTAGAAATAGATAAAAATAATAACCCTATAACAGAAGACATGTCAGCTATTCAAAATTTAATCTACATAATGGGAAATATCAGATTTTAAAATTGTATATTAAAAATCAACTGCGATTGATTGTGTGTTTAGAATTCGCTGAAATTTGTTATTTAGGTAGTAAAAATGTTGAGTGGAAAGAAAATGTTTAACGTATAGTGTAATAAAGGGACCGTCACTCCATATAACCTATTTATTGTAATATTCACGTTAGTTGTTTGCACTGTAAAAACGATTAGTTATTTTACTTTAAAAAGTAAGTAAACCAGTTGCCTTAAAAACAACAAGTTGATTTAATTTTTAAAAGTCAGTAAACCCCTTGATTTAACTTTTATTATTATGCATAGCTTGTTTACTTAATAAGGAAACGAGTTACTCTCCTTTTAAGAATGGCTTAGTCCGATAAGTTTGAATGAGTAGGCTACGACATCTGTACAGTTAAAACATGCAAAGCCATATCTTGTCTGCAGAGCAGGAATAGTGCCCCGTAATTTTGCTCTGTGCGTGCAATTTACCAATCTCTTTTATTGTGGGGAATTTGAAAGATGTGCATCATTTCACTCGAAAGTTTGGAGTTTTTTTCACAATAACATTTTACATTTTGCCATGTCCCACAATTAATTGCTTGTGATATTTTCGTGATTGAACGTAAATCAGACGTAATGTGCTCTAAAAACAGACACGTTTTATGACGTTGTACTCTATAAGAAGGCCTGCACTATCAAGTACTAGCTTTAACTACAGCAGCATAAGTCACATGCGTTAATGTATGAATAATGGCAACCTTAGTTATATGTTAGTACATATTTTTATGTGTGACATAATTAAGCATACAATAACATGTAATAAGTTGTGTTAAATTTGCAACTAAAAGTGTTCTTTCTCATAGAGTTACATTTAGCTTGTGTTAATTAATATAACAATTATCAAGCATGTACTTATAAGTTTGGCTGTACATGCTACATAAACATGCTGTACAGTTCTCAATCGCATCATCTCATCAGTTCATCTTCAGTTACCACATATTAGTACATAATTTTTGTTATTGTAAAGTGTTAAACATATTTCTATAAGTTATGTTAATATATAATTCCCCACCGAGCCCGTGGATATTTGACTATCGACTATTAGTGATGGTGGCAGGTGAATTTAGCGATGTACTCCTGGTAGAGTAAAAATCCTGGTTGCATTACATGTTTAAGCTGAAGCAAATTAACGAGTTCGTTGAACTTATGTTTTTTAACTGACTTACATACTTGCTTAATTTATAAAATTCAGTTAGAACACGATTCTATCTTCATTTAATAAGTTGCAATGATTTAAAAACATTTGCTGAACTGACTAATTGATCATATACTTTGTACAAGTTAAGGATGAATTTAGTCACACGAGAACAACCACAGGCTCTTTGAGGTTTTCCTTTAGGAAACAGAGAATAATGAGGGGCCCACTTCTATTTTCTTTTATTAAGTGTATTTGAAGAGACGGAAAATAATAATTTAATTCAAATCATCTTTATTTCTATAGCGCTTTTACAATGCAAACAATGACAAAGCAGCTTAACATAGTAAATTGAAACTGTCAGTCTAGTTTTCAGAGTTATAGTTAAGTTTAATTTAGTTCAGCGTGGTTTAACTTTCATTGCTGAAAGTCCAAACACTGAAGAAAAAATCTATCTATGCGCAGCTCCAAAGTCCTAAAAGCAGACAAAACAAACGAACGAATCGATTGATTGATTGATTGATTGATTGAATGAATGAATGAATTTCATAATGTACATAGGAACAGAAAACAAGCAAGTGTATTACATTATAGCCCTCGTTAAAGTTTATAACATTGTTAAAAAAATTATTTTATTTTCTAAAAAATGTTGCAAAACTAATAAATATTTGGTACCAAAGTGTGTTTAGGCCTACTGTGTGTTTCATAAATCGCTATTACAAAGATATTCAGGTTAGTTTAAATTAGCTTAAACAGTTATTATTTATTTTAGATTTCAAGTGTTTTTATTCAATCAAAAGAGCAATTTAGTTTAATACATTTATAGTCAACAGTTAATTAATCAATCAATTAATCAACCAGTTTTGTTCGTTTGTTTACAGGGTATAAAAACAGGGTATAGACAATTAAGACAAAGTTAATGTCTTCACAACCATCTGTCTTCAAATCCATGAGTGTTGGCTACTTCTGTATAATTGAGTAGCGTTTTCTCTCTGCATAGAGAGATGTTTTAAGTTTCTATACGAGTTAAATAAGAGTTTGAAGTTAATTTGTCTTTTTTAAGATTGTTTCTTTACATGACAAAAAAACCCACATTAAATCGAGTTAGAACATCAAAATCTCTGCACAGATTAAAAAAAAGACTTTAGAAAAGCAGATTTTGAACATTGTATAGTTTGTTGCCGGAGGGACGAAAAATAAACAGCAAAAACACATCAAAGAAGCGTGGTTTGAGTGCATGGAAGTCTAGTCGGGGTGAAAGGTCATAATATCATACACCCCGGATTATTAGATTATAGCCTTCGTTAAAATATTAATTTCTTAATAAAAGCTTTATTATGATTTCTAATAAAATGTTTTAAAATTAATACACATTTTGTTACAAAGTGTGGTTAGGTATCATAAAACGTTATTACAAAAATATTGAGGTTAGTTTAAAATAAAATAAAGCACATCAATGAAGCTTGGCTATCTTTTGAGTGGCCGTCGCTATAGTGTGGGTAAAAGGCCATGACTGGTAATTAGGCTTTAAGAGCCCACATTTGCAGTCCAGGGGCAAACTTCAGCCAGCATACAACAAAGCCAACTGTTTTGTGATTCATTTAAAAATTAATTGATTAAATAAGTTAAATAAAAAAAAAAACGTAATGAAAAGCAGATGGAGGTCAAAAGAGCTGCTGCGTCTCAGTTCATCAGTTTCCCATTGGTTAGTTGCAATTGTTGGTGCCCGACAGCTGTAATACTGTATCTGATGATGGCGTAAGAGAAAACCCGCAGGCTTTTCGATGTATGCATTTAAATAATTGCTTTATGAGGCAAAAGGTGGTGTGGACCAGCATTTATACATGTCTGTTCCGAATCTTCCATACGACCCTGAAACTGTGTGAATGGTGCTAAAATGCTGATTCATAATCTAAGACTAGGACTTGAATGCATCAGAAGCAGATAAATATGAACAAACGACATTAAAACTGAACGATAAAAAAAGAATACTATACCCCAGTAAATTGCATCCTACTTTAAACTAACCATTAAATTAAGTACATTACAATAACAATTTCATAATAAAAACCTTTATTATACTAAAATGTTTTTAATTTGAACTCATTTTATTACGATATGTAATAAAACGTTATAACAATACTTAAACTTGAGTTTAAACTGCTTCAAATGTGAAATCTCATTTCTTTTAGATTTTAAATGATTTAAGCTTAAACAAAAGAGCAGATTAGCTTTTTCTAATTTACAATTAATCAATCAAGATAAACCAATCGATTTATGCCTTTTAAAATGAAATCCAAGATTAATTTTATATGAAAGTTTTTAGTATTTAGACAATAAGCATATCCGTTCTTTTTTAAGGCGTAATCTAGATGTGAATATTCAATTCACTGCCTATATTAATACTTTAAACACAAATTACTTACATTGTAATCGCTGACTGTATTTGAGTGTATCGCGAGAACAGTCTTTATACGTTGAAGGAATAAATTGGAGATGAAAATTGCACAAACTTTACATTTCTACCTCCAGTCTTCATGCTCCAACAGGTTGTTTGTTTGATTGGTTGTTTTATTCTTGCTTTCATTTTGATATACTGTAAAACGTTTAACATTGGTTAAACTTACAAACTCAAGTTCACCAGCTGCCTGGAAAATGTGAGTCAACTCAACTTTGAGAGATTCTTTGTTTCAATATTTACCTAAAACTCAACATCTTAAGTTGAAACAAAGAATCTTTTTAATATGAGTTAACTGCATTTACAAGGCAGCTGGTGAACTTGAGTTTGCAAGTTTAACCAATGTCAAATGTTTTACAGTGGTGTAAATTATAAAATGTTCAGATTTTATAAATCTGAAATGTTCAATATTTGCTCTCGTTTCAGGTCCTCTAAATTAATTTAAAATCCCCCTTTTTTCTAACAAACAAAAGCTAAAGACACTTTTAAAACTCATGTCTATATTGTTAGATTGCACTTGTCTCTCTCTATCCAACACATTTTAATTTGTTGGATTAATCGTTGTGTCTTTCCGTCTGTTTTACGTCGATGTTCATTAGTTTTATGTAGTATAACTGAAGTATGTTTGCTTTTATGCGAGAATGTTAAAGAGATGTTTAAAACACAATTTTCTGACAAGCAAAACGGTGTTTATTACTGCAAGAACGTACACCACAGGCGTTTAGCTAATGTTTCAGTGCTACTCATGTTCATTGGGTTTTTAAAACTTATCAAATACAATTATAGCTCTTATTAAATTATCAGTAAAGCACAGAATAAACATGCACGTTAAAATAACAGTGTAACAAAAATGTTTCTAATACATACTATTACAGTACATTTTTTAAAATCAGAATCTAT